ACATATGTTGCAACTAATTTTAGCTTATGTTGCAATATTTTGTAAATTTGAAATCAATTGCTGTACCATCTTTAATTATAAGTTAAAGTAAATTTTCTAACTTTGTTATAATATTAAGTCATAAATCTTTTAAAATGCCAGTTTTGATACATTGATTTGATAGTTAGTCTAATTTTTGAAGATCAAAAAGTTGTCAATATTCACTTTTTAGAGCTTTTGGTCAAAGTTCTAAATATGATTGGCAAATAATTTGTGTGAAATGATTTTTTCAGCAGCTTTAATAATATAACGCTGAAGATGATTTCAATAGAAATTCAATTTATGAATTGTAGAAAAGCGAGTTAGGGTCATATTTTTAAGGTAACAGAAATTTAAAAAATTATCTGTTTTTTGAGAAAAGATATTCTATTGCTATTTATTTAAATTATCATATAGAAAACAAGTTTTTTAATTGTTTTAGAAGAAATTGATCTATGAATCAGATCAGGTACAGATATCTTAGTTGTAACTATAGAGTGGTCAATATATTGTGATTCTATTTCTATGATATTATCTAATGTAATAATATTTGAGATTGAAGAGAACAAAAAAACATGATTTATATGAGAAGAATTAGAAGTAGAAGTGCAACGGTAAGTGAGATGAGAAATATTAGTATTATTATGAAGTAAATCACACAAGTTAAAAATATTGTAAGAATCAAGAAGTGTAAAAAGTTCATTTATTTTAGAAGGATTGGTAGGTCAGTTTGGTTTAGCATTAAAATTACTAAGCAATATAATGTTCATATTTGTTATTAAAGCCTGTCAAATAATATCTGATACTTCTTTAATAGTTTATATACAGAATTGTGTATTAGTACTTGATAAGTATACATTAATAATTCTAATCTTAAAAAGTGCTGAAAATTGTAAATCTATATATATATCTTCACAAATTGACAGCATGTTTATAAATGTGATTTGTAATGTATTTTTTTTATCAAAGGGCCTACGTTAAATCCTACTTGTTATGCAAACTGTTTTTGTTCAAAAAAGGGGATGTAAGTTGAAGGAAGAGAAAAACAGAATAATAAAATGTCTTTATTAGAAGTAAAGTTAGTTTCTTGAAGTCCAATAATATCCAATTGATTGATGAGATATAAGTTGGATAAAAATTTCTGTTTAAAGTTATTATTAAATGATCTAACATTATAGATAGTGATATTTAAAGTTGTGGAGTTATTGTTAATGTTAGGATTGATAAAGGAATTATTAAGTGTAGTCTGACTATTTACATTTGTATTATTGATTGTATTAATCATGATTTTATAAGAACTTTGAGAGGAGATGTAAAAACATTATTTTCATTTCTGAGGTTTGTAGTTAGTATAACTAAAGCTTTAGCCAGTACAATATCACTGATAACATTTGTCTATTATAAAGCTCATTACATTTGAGCTACAGCTTAAAGGGTTTAATTAAGTTTTTTGACATTAAGCTCAAGATTTTCTTTGAGAGTGTTATTTTCTTCTGAAAAGCATAGAATTTTGTTATTATCTATAATGTTTTTTGTATAATATGGTTCTTCATCTTTATAGCCATTATCATTCTATTGCAGATGATTCATTAAGAATTTTTATAGTAGATTCAGTAAGCATTAAAATATTAAGGGTAGATTTTATTATAAATACACATTAGATGGTAAAGGAGAAGTCATTATGAATTATAGCAAGATATTTTATAATAGTTTCTAGAATTTTGTCTGCTATAGATGGATTTCAGTTTTTATTAGGTCTGTATTAATCATATGAATATTGTTCTTTTTCATATGCATCAGACTAGCTTAGTTTAGCATGAATACTGCTATCCAGTGTTTGTTTATTCTTATCATTGTACAGTTTTGGTGAAGAATGGATTGGTAAAATAGTATTAGTTGAGATTGGTTTCAGTTTTTGGTCATATGTCTGTTAGTTCCATTGTTTAGGTTATTAGGAATAAGTTTACAATTATTTTTATTTTGTTGATATAATGTAGATAGAATTAGTCTAGATCTGGATTGAGGTGCTTATAGTTACTGAATTGTACTGGTTTAAAATGTTAGTAAAGGTTTTGTATCCTGAGGAAAATTGTAATGCATCTTGAGGAATTTCTAATCTATTAGCAAGCATTTTGGCTTTTTGATAAGTATCATATCACTTAAAATCATTTGATACTAGTAGTTTAAAACAAATTCCTTGAATGCAAGCTCAAGTTCTGAATAAGAAATAGGTTTATATCACTTTGTATTTAGACTAATTATTTCTAAACCAATTCATTTTTCTGCTATTTGTAGAATACGAAAAATAGTACTTTCGTCAACTCTAAGACCTACTGTTCTTCAATTCAATCAACATACTGAGCCTGAGTTTTTTATTATCACAAGTGTAAGTGTAAAGATCTCGCTTTTGAAGTTCAGAGAGAGTAGTTCTTTTAACTTTAAGAAACATTTTTTTAGAAGCGTATAATTGATTTTAATATTATTAAATAATATAGTAATAATTGAAAAATAAGTGAAAGTTACATTGAAACTATGTAAGTTTCTCATTCCTTTTTTCTTAATTTAAACATATGACAGAATCTAATAATTCCTTTTTGTAATACTTCTAACAATCTACTTTCTTATTTTAAGGGGTTTTTTTATTCATTATCATATGTTATTTCTCTGTAAGTATAATTATCTCATATAATCATTCCTAAATCTTTCCTAACTAATACTAATTTGGATTAGTCACAATAGATTAAGCTAAGATACAATATTTGTTTATACATTTATTATAGTTTGTTCAATAAATTTAAGAAAACCTTTTTGCAAATAATTTGAATAATATCAAAAATCATTTTTTGATAATTAAATATATTATCTAATATAATAAAATTTGTTTTTTTTAAAACATTATCATATTATATATAAAGTTATTTAAATTATTTATGCAAATTTACTCATTGAATAATATATTTTACTTTTAAAATTTGGGAAACAAATTTAAAAAATTAACCTATGACCAACTGATTGGTCATTTTTATGTGATTGTCATGTGCATGCATTTATAGAGGGTATTTCAATATACCCAGAACTCGGAATTGCTTGCACGTGTAGAACATAGAAGGTGTGCACTTAGCTCTAAGTCCCAAGCTTGGGACCGAGCTACAGTGTGCATATAGAGAGGATGTGCACTTATAGAGGGTGCACTTATAGAGGTGTTACTGTAACCCCAAAAAACAGCCAATAAAATTGATCCGCATGTAACACTATTCGAAGCATTTTGATTGGATCAGATGATTAAATTTTATTTTAAAAAATTTTTTGCAACGTAAAATAAATTTTTACATGATGTGATGTTTCTAAATTGCAAAATGTCAGACATACAAGAAATTCATAATTATCTCTTTGATCAAGTCATTAACTTTAAACAACCAGGTCGTAGTTTTTCATATAAAATTATATAGGAAGGCATATATTCTAATAAATCATTGTTAGCATTTATTTTTCTTCCAAATAAGTATCGGTCCCTGATGATTATATGGATTATATGGTAGAAACAACCTGGGTAGAGGTAAAAACCAATGCTTTATTGATTACATTGATAATAAATCTGGTTAGAAGATCATTTTTAATTTGAAGTTTCTTTGGTCAAAAGTGCTAAGCAGCTAAGCGACAACCCTTTATTTTAATAACAGGATTTTTATTTATTCTCTTGCCCTACTATTGCCCTATAAACATTATTTCTCTGTGGCTTCTGTAAAAATACCGTGAAAACGAGCCTTTCACGGAATCCCGCGTAAATGGGATGGAAATTTCCGTGAATTAAGCGTGAAATGACGGATCAACTTTTTTTATAGGGTTGAAGACTTTCCTGATTTATTTGTTAAGCATCTAACAATCTGTGATAAACAAAAAGCCCCCAAAAATACTATAAAAAAACAAAAATTCCAAGTTTTTACAACTTCAATACGTTCTTCTACCCCTAAGTCATAAATATATTTCACAAACCAGTTATTTTGTTGTTCCATTGAATCATTAGTCACTCGCAAAAAAAAAATGACTAATTCGGAATAAATTATTTATTGGGTAGAAACATTATAGATTAATTACGATTAGAAAGCATTTTATTTATATTCCATTAACTAACTTATTGCGCGTCGATTTTTTTTTTATAGATTTGAAATAAATTTATAATAACTTTACTATGATTTATATTAATTAATAATTGCTTTGGCCGGAAAAAATTTCTACGGTAGAATCACGTGAAATTGCCAATGATTTTATTTATCATAAAGCATTTTAAATGTTTCATATTCCTTTTCTTCTACAATAATAAAATAATACATGAGACCAACGTACCACTGTCATTGTATTCCAAGGTATAAATGAACTTTCGTGTTTTAAAAAGATTTCATAGCGAAAAAATAAATTAATGAATATAAATAAATTCAAAAGATGATATTTTTAGAATATTTATATATATTTTAAACTTTTTACAGTAAATCAAAACAAAAAATTAAATAGTTAAAAAAGGAAATTAAATTTTCATCGCCATCTTCATTTCCATCTTCTAGAGATGGAAATGTAACGGCCGCCTTCAACAGAATTCAAAGGTTCAAATTTACCAAAGATGCTTTTGAACCTTTCATCAAGATGCTTCATAAAACCCTTGTGACATTCTATATTATCGGCCACATTGATGTGTTCATGCATAATATCCCAAACTGTTGAAGGAGGTTTGATAGGTTTCTCCACAATTATCAGGATGCGCTTTTCAATCTCTTGCGTCAATTCCTTGTTATGTAGCGCAACCTTTCCACAACGGTGTTTATATGTTGAAAGGAAGAAATGGATTGATAGCCTCGCAAAGTCATGCATGTATTTTAAATACCTAGTTTCAAGCATTGAATACACTTCACGAGGAAGCCTTTTTAACGCGGGGGCATACTCATATGTGGGAAATTGATCAAGAATCAACTTGGAAGTTTCCGTGAATAAGAAAGAAAGTTGATATTTATTCGCCAAATATAAAGCATACTCCGGTTTTTGTTTGAAGTTTTGATCGAGAAAAGCTATACCCGCAACATAAACTTTACATATTGTATACTTATCCGCAAAATGTAAAAGTGCCTCAACATTTGACCAAATAGGCATGATGAAATGACGAGGATAAATTATCGAGAGGGCGATGTCAATCGTTGATGAATTTTCATCAGGTAAGTTTATTGTCGGAAGGTCATATCCTTCTTCTAGCTTATCCAACAAAGCTGGCGAAGCCATTTCTAATATGATTTTGTGAACACAAAAGCAAGTGTCTTTTGCAAAAATTAGAATATCGCCGTTGAGGTGATAATGGATGTCGCTGTTCTTCATGGTGTTTTTTTGACTACCCATTTAAAAATTTAATATTATAAAAAAAAAAATGCTTGTTATTTATTGTCATTTATTTGTTGTAATACCTTGATTGAACCTGAATTCGGAAAGAATTGCTTTTCTATTTAACTAATTAAGAAAATTTGCAACTTTAAGAGCAAGGTATCACAACGCCCAAGTTTACTTACACTCAGGGATTATGCATTAAAAGGTTAAAATTTTACGCCAAAAAAAAAAATAAAATTATCATATGATTAAGATTTCTGGTGGGAAAAATAGAAACACGCGTTTTGTCACATTTATTATAATTATCACGATGCAAATTGTAGATCCTAGTAATTGGTAAAAAAATTTACGATCGACGAGAACGCAAATAATATCTTTTTTTTTTTTAAAAAAAAAATTTCTATTACGAAATTATATGGAAATGTTCTAATTATCGTGAAAGGTATCAGCTTAGGCTTGATAAGAATATTCCTCTGTTTTTTTCAGGGATATGTTGTTCCCAAGTTCCAGACGTTTACCTCTTTCAATAACTCGTTTATTGGAGAAATTTCTGGATATAATTTGCATATATAAACCTCTATTAACTTTCAGTAATAATTTAATCAGCTTTTAAAACTTGTCCAAAATGATTATAAGCGATGCTGCTTTTGAAATGCTTTTAAGAGCAAAGACAAGATATTGATTTTAAAATCGTAGCAAAACTTGCATTTATATCCCACATCATGTCATTATTGAAATGAACGTATAACGAGACGAAACGTTAAGAATTTTAGAAACTTTAAAGTTATCTTTTTAAAAAAAATTCCACAACAATTCGCTTTTTTCACCCACGTGACCACAAGAGTTGTGTCACGAACTACGTCATCGTGGTAATCACGTGTAATGAGCCACACCACACTGCGTCGATAGCTACTATTTTGAGAATTTATTATTATTATTCGATGAAATGGCAGTTCTCAATTTTTTGCGTCTTGCTTCCTTTTCTTTATCGGAGGCTTTCTTTTCTTTTCTTTTTTTTTTTTTTATTTTTTTTCTTTAAAAAAGAGAATAGAGAAGAAAAAAGAGCTTGACAGGTATTTAAAAATTTTTAGCTTGTTATGTTAAGGCTATAAACGAAGTGAGTTATATATTATATTATATATATATATATTTCTTATTTCATTTTTTTTTTTTTTAAAAAAAAAATAAGACTTCAATATTACATCATCTTTATTATTTATAACTAAGAAAGGGGTTTGGTTTTCTTTCGATAAAATAGCAAACTTATATCGTCATGTCGAACGCACCAATAATTGATGATCCTATGGAAACAGACATGGAAGTATCTAAAGAAACAAATGTTGAAAAGTCCTATGAATCAAATTTAAGACAACCCTTGAGAAATGAGGCTAAGCGATCTAAAAAATCTAATACGCTAATGTTAGATCCTTCTAATTCTAATTCTGATTATGATTTAAATATGGAGACTGTATCTCAAAATTTAGCACTCTCTTTCACGACAATGTTAGGTACATTGCATGGAATGTCATTAGAAGATGTCCATAAAATGATGGACTTGGAAAAAAACATGATGATTGAATTGCAAAATGCAATCAAGGCAGTATCCAAGGTTTTTAAAAATTCTAATAGAGAGATGTTAACGAATCCTCAAGAGGATGATATGTCTGGTAATGAAGACATATTACTGAATAATCCTTTGATCATCTCAAATGATAAAGAAATTCCAGTGATTCCTCCAGGAGTTGAGAACGATCCTATGAGTACTTCAATTGATAAAGAAATTCCAGTTATTCCTCGGGGGGCTGAGAAAAATTCTATGAGTAATTCAATTGATAAGGAAATCTCAGTGAAACCCGGGGGAGCTGTGAAAGGTTCTATAAATACATCAATTGATACAGAAGTCTCATTGAATCCTGGGGGGGCTGTGAATACTTCATTTAATAAAAATATTTTAGTCAATCTTCCAAAGGAAGAAGTATCAGAAAACTCTACAATATCTTCTGAATCTACCACAACGTCGACATCAGAATCAAGTAGAAATAAAATTGGGGATAATTGTGAAATACCTATAGTGCTGGATAATGATAATGACCATTATGAAGCTGAAATCATTGAAATCGATTCTGACGATGAAGAGATTCTAAAATATAAGGATATGATGTCTTTGGAAGACATCGATTGTATAGAAATCGATAAAGATGAATTTGACGTAGTTGTCAATGCAAAAAGAGGTGGGAAAGGTTGCTCTGATGATTATGAAACAAATGGCGAAAATTTTATTCCAATTGCGCCTAGTGATGGGGAAGTAAGGCGTAGATCTTATAGAATCAGAGGACTTAATCCATCTAAATATGCTCGTCGAAAAGCTTGCGTTTCCGATGAAGGTAAGTTTTCTTACTCATCATTTGTTTAATAAAAATTCATTGGTTTTTAAATTAACTAATTTGAATAACAGAAAATCATCCATCAAAATGGAGAACTGATCTTCCCGCACTTCCTTATATTTCAAATTCTGTTTTACGTTTATGGTCGACAGGATTTTTATGTCATAGAGATCAATGGGAAAGGCTTGAATATCTTGGTGATAAGGTTCTCATGTTTTGTGTTTTGAGATTCGCCACCACTAAATATCTTCAACGTTATACTTCTACCGAGATCAAATTAGTTGCTAGTTTTTTGGTTACAAACAAATTGCTCGCTGCATATTCTTTAACTCTTGGTCTTGATATAAAAAATCAAATGCAAAAACTCGGAATTACTAAGAAGGTAGCAGATGCGTTTGAAGCATACATTGGTGCATATTACTTGTCTGAAGGAGAAGCAGCTACAACGACTTATTTAGACCAGTTAATGGATCCACTGTTTGCACTTGTATTAACTAATATGAATGGTAAACGTGATATTAATAGAATAATGAACGTTATAGCAAATTATTTCCACATGGGATTTTTATTAACTATGTCAAAATTAAAATAGGCTATATAATATATTAATCTTAATGTAATTAATAGGATATTGATTCCTTCTCTTTCATAATAATAAAATAATGATAATGGATGATTTTAATTGATCATCTTTTCCTTTCCCCATCAATCGTTCATCCATATTTCTTGTTTCGATACAGCTGCATTCGTCCTCTGCAAGTTTTAAATTTGTTAAATTAGGATCAAATGCTACAATAAAAAAAATTACGAACTAGTTATCATTGAAAAGGTGATTTATACTTGATTCTTTGGTATGTACATCCATATGATCGATCATATTTCAAAATAACGCGGATAATGCCTAGCGTGCCTTAATCTGATTATTAAGAAATTTCCAAGATTAAACTTTGAAATTTCGTCTCGTATCATAAAGACTCGCCATATTAATTGGTTTTTAAGAATTTAATCAGGTAATAATAATGAATAACTAAAAGATCTTAAAAAAGAAAACAGGAGAAGCAAGTACACTTTAGCATGGATTCAATTAAAATATTTCAGATCCAAAATTGACGGATCATCCGGAATTTTCTCCTATGTAAACACCAAGAAAGTCTTTCTCTTAAAAGTTACCCCTATTCATACTTCAAATAAAAAATAGAAATGTCAACTACTATTAACATTGTGTGTTTTGCATGTTGCTTTATTTTTATTGTCAAAGTTCCTGCTTAGCATAGAAAATGCTAAATATTTGTAAATACTGTCCTCCTAAAGATAATTATTCTACATCATCATAACATCCTTTTAACAAAGACGTGTCCGATATGAACATATCTTTGGACAAGGTCCATGCATAATTATATAGCATTGTATTGATACCTTGAAAGCCCATCACTTTTATATTGGCATATTTGCGAATTAAACGACACGTGACAGATCTTTCAAAAGAAAAAACGCGTGCCAAAAAGCGATAATGAAAGCTGCGCCATCCAAAAAAAATGATTGTCGATTAAACAACTAGATTGGTCTTAAATGCTGTAATGTAACACTTGATTAGTAATTATGAAAAAATATTTAAATCTATTAATAAAATAATTAATTGGTTTGTTTTTTTTTCTTATTTCCCTCCCAACCGTTTTAAATAAGGTAAAAATCCGTACATTTTTTTTTTTATCTGAAGCTAACTCAGAAATTGATCGTCATCGAAATGTGTAACACATAAAAAATAAAAAAAGATGTCCGAAGCGCGGAATTCGATTGTTGATAAATTTACCAATGATGAAAAGAAAGCGATTAAAGATCTTAAGGAGCTTCTTCCTGAAATTTTAAATGGAGCCAATGCACCGGAAAATTATACTCTTTGGGAAGTTGCTTTGGACAAAGATTCTAAAGACGAAAGATTAGACGTTATCCTTATTAAATTTTTAAGAGCCAGGTGAAAAGATTAACCCAATAATTTATTTTAAAAAAAAAAAAAAAATTCATAAATTCATTTTTCCCTAATTCCCTAATTTCTTAGGTCATTTGATGTAAATAAATCCAAAGAAATGATGAAAAAATGTATTGAATGGAGAATTGGTTTTAATGCTGATGAATTGCTCACCGAAACTTTCCCTAGTTCAATATTCGCAAAAATTGGATTTATTCATAAACATGATAAAGAATTTCGTCCCGTTACTTATAATCTTTACGGAAGAATCAATAATCAAGAAATTTTTGGAAATATGGATCAATTTATCAGATGGCGTATGCAATTAATGGAAAAAGGAATCAAATTGTTGGATTTTGCTAATGTTGATCAAATGATTCAAGTACATGATTATAATTTGGTTACTTATTCAAGCTATGATAAAACCGCCAAACAAGCTAGTAAACTTGTCACTGAAATTATGCAAGAAAATTATCCAGAATTTTTGGTAAACTAAAAAAGGAGATTATTTTATTTTATTTTATATTTTTTAATGATTTGTTATGACTAAATTAACAATATATTGTAGGCTGTGAAACTCTTCGTTAATATACCTTGGTGGGGTGAATGGATATTTAAATTTATTTCAATGTTTCTATCTGAACAAACAAAGAAGAAATTTGTCTTAACCTCTGCTGATCGTGTTAAAGAAATTATGTTAGCTTTGATTGATGAAGAAAATCTACCTACTTTCTATGGTGGTAAAAGCGTTGTTCGCGGATTTGAAAACGATAATATTGGCTCAACTTGATTATTAATGATTAAATCAACATTTTTATTTTACACATTATTGTTTGATGAATATTACAAATAAAAAAAAAAAATGAATAAGTTTCATTTTTTGACTATATTCATTTTAATAAAAAAAAAAATCTTATCACGGGTGATATTTATGTATACATATATATATTTTTATATTATTAGATCTTTTGATTTTTCTTTTCTCGCGGTATATTCAAGATTCAATGTCTGAAAAATATGTATTTATCTCATTCAGTTCAATAACTGCTATTGCGGTGGCTTTTTTTATTTTTAAAAAAAAAGTAGAAGAATTTAGAATTAATCAACAATTAAGAAAGGTTCGATATAAAATTAAATACAAACCTGCTTCTTGGTCCGGATTCATTTCCCTATTATTTTGAATTTAAACGAAATATTAATAAAAATTACACGTGAAAAAGGGCGTATGCTAATTACAGTACTTACGCTCGTAAAATTGCAATTAAAATCACAAAAAGGCATATCGAAGGTGCAAAATTTGATATGACGATATACAACAAGCCAATCCAAAGAGCACTTAACAACTTTTCGTAGCTAACGGCAAGGGGAATCAAACACGCGCTGAACCTGCAGTAAAAGTCACGTGAGTGCGTTTGTCATTCTTAAATTTTCAAACATGCTATAAGGGTTCATTACCATAACATTATAACAAAGGTGCCGCAATTAAATAGGCGTATCTAAAACGAAATAAAATAAAATAAAATAAAATAAAATAAATGAGAGTTAAATTCAAGAATCGCTCAAAAATATATTTATATTTATTTATATACCTTATTAATATATGCTTTGAAGGTGATGTTTGCTTTTTCCAACCTTGTTTTTATTCTATCAGGAAAATTGCTATTACCCGCGTCTTGAATTCCTGTGAGCATAAAACTTTCTTCTGTCATTCTTAATAAATTCCTTCCATAAAATGTCAAGATGAAAATAATAAAAGTACAATGAAACCAAAAAGTGCCATAGAGACAACCATTCGCATATAAAAATATTTTGTTCCTTCTCATAACAGGACCATTTTCTTCATGTAAAAGATTTCGATTCAATCCCATAATGATAGAAGAGGTCGTAGTTAATGTGAAGAGTAAAAATGCCAAAGCCCAAAAAGCGATAGTCACTTGATAACCTTGTGGAATCCACATGGTTTTTGATCTATTTCCACCATTATTACTTTCATTTATGACATTTTCAAAGGTTCGATGCGTGGACGATGTTGTAAATTGTTCAAATTTCATTCGCGTCATGGTTTGAAACATTCCCGCTATAAAACTATAAATTCCCATGAATCCCGGTGACCAACTAAATGCAAAGATGATTTCGCGAATTACCGGATATTCAAAAAAGAAATTAAACAATATAACGACACAACAGATTACGCGCGCTGGATATACATATGTATTTAGGGTGAATTTATTAATTAAAAATAATTAAAAATAATTTAAACAATTAAGTTGCCCAAATTAAATGTTGAAAAAATCACGTAAAGACTTCGCCTCTTACTCAAATTATTTATTCCACACCATAATAGAAACCCTTCCAAAGGAGTGAATAATTTACCAGTGAATAATCTTGAATCTTCTCTGTATTTTAGTCTCCAGAAAAGTAAAGAAAAAGAAAATATACAAATAATAGACCACAATGCTATTGAAATTATATACAATATATTATATTCTTTTGACCCTTCACAGTTTACTATACTATAAGTAAACCTTTGAAATTGAAAACAATTAACATCGATTCTTGCATGAAATGTGAAGATGAGAAAAAAAAACAAATCAAAACAAAAAAACAAAAAAAACTCACTCGCAAACAACTGAATTCATAATTAACGATAATTAACGACTATTCAAATTTTATGCATGTAAAAAAGGAAACAAATGGAATTTATTCATGAGATAAAAGAAAAAAAATGAAAAGAATGTATAAAGTTAAAACAAAATAAGGAATGGGATGAATTCGTTAAAAAGATGAAACTAAGGAACGTTGTATTTGCTGGGAGAAAGGGAAAAGTGAACACTTCACTTTAAACTCTAATCATTTCACTTTTTTATGTTTCATCAAGAAACCCAAATTTAGAATATCACATGTTGATTTAATATAAATTATAGACGTATTTCTGTAATTAGTTACAATTAAAAGCATTATTAAAGGAACAATGGTCGATGGTTGGTTATTCTCACGTTAATCTTTATTTATTGTTGTATCACACAAATGTTGCAATAACGCCATCATATATAATTTTACATTCTTTGAAACAATTATTTATATACAGTACAAGACAAATAATTTTTAAAGGAATGAATGGTTCTAATTTCCGTAATTTCCGTGAATGCAAAAGTGGAAATTTTTTTAAAGTTTTGCTTATTTTTCCGTAATGGAAATCCAATCAACAAAAAATTATTGTTGTGCACCAATTAAAATTCTGCAACTTGGAAAAAAATTTCCCCATTAATTAAATTGTGGATCGTACCATGTAAATATGATTTTATTATAACATCTAGAACGTGCTCCATTTATGTAGAAATATTCTAGATCGAAGGAATATGTGTTCGCAAGAATTGGTGTCAAAGTTCCATAAAGAAATAATTAATCAATTAGGTCAACCACCTTTCACACCATAATTAATCCTTCCAATGGCATCCGCAGCAAGTCAATTACAACAAAAAGTTCTTTCGTTTTGGTTTAAAGGTTTGTAATTTTTATAGGAAGAACAAAAATAAATCTAACCTTATTTTCTATTAATGATTCCTTTCTTTCATATGGATATTAATTAGATTTCAAAAACGGACAGATACTTCCGCCTTCTTTTTTACAATTTTGGTTCTCCGGTGGAGCGGTAGATATCGAATGCAGAAAACATTTTAGCAAAGAATTGGAAGATATTTTTGAGAAAAGAAGTTATGTTGATGAATTGAAAAAAACTCCAGAGGTAAGCTTCATATAATGCAAATAAATTTCATATTAATGATAATGCTAAATTATTTTTTTGCATTATTTAAAGGGAACCCTAAGTTTAACGATCTTACTCGATCAATTTCCTCGTAATATATTTCGTGGAACTGCAAGACCGTTTGTAGATTTTGACCCACTCGCATTGGAAATTGCCAAATATTGTTTACATCTTAAATGGGATGAAAAATTGGAACCGATTCAAAAAGTGTTCATTTATTTGGTATTATATTCAAATATTTAACTTTATGCTATGCTAAAATTTCCACAGAAAATTACAAAACAAAGTCCATTTTTCTAGCCACTTGAACATTCAGAGAAAATGGAAGATCAGGATCTCAGTTTACAAAAATATAAGTGTCTTGCTGATACCGCCCCTGAGGTATTTAAAATATATTGAAATAACAATTGATAATTTAACCAAAAATTCTATTAAATAATTGTTCCTTTGTAACATTAATTTAGGTGCATTCCGAGACGTTGAAAAGTTTCCTTGATTACGCCGAATCCCATAGAAACATAATCAAACAATTTGGTAGATTTCCTCATAGGAATAAATTTTTGGGGAGAATACCTAAAAAAGAAGAGATAGATTTTCTTGAACAATGTGGCGAAACATTTGATCCATGATTATTTGATTAAATTATTAAGAACGGTTTAATTAAACCGTGGATAATATTCACATTTAAGACATAATTCTCAAAACTTGATTAATAACTTGTGGTTCAGACATTTGAAGATTCTCGTGTTCCAACCATAAGGATCTTTCGGTTTGTGATCGACTTATCTTAGCCCCAAATAACAAAGCTTGTTCTTCTGCAACGCGTTCCGCAACCTCCTCTCTTGCTCGAATTTTATAAAATTCGTTACAGGCTTCGACATATGCCTGATGTTTTCCTAACTTTTGAACTTTCATTAAATGCGTTTGGTACCTAATCACGCTAGATAACAACAATTTTTTTTTTGATTAGTTAATTTTGGTAACAAGCAATTATAAATGTAATTATTAAAATTTACAAAAGGTTTAAAATCAATTTACTCTTCACCAGTAACCCGACAAGGGAATTTCAATTTACTTAATAATTCACCGTGACCTTCCATAATTCCATCATTTTTTTCCATCATGATTTGTGGTCTCAACAGTTCGTATGGATGTTCACGATAAAATTCTCTACGTAAACTATCTTCCATGTATCGAATCTTTTGCGGCCGTGGAATCTTTGTTTTCAAATGCTTTGGAGAAGGTGCTTTTTTGTTAGGCAATTTCTTTCTTGACAAATCTTTTTCACGAAACTGTAAAGGACTACGTAATAAGCTCTGACCGGGTGGAAATTTGTTCATGGCTGAATACCATACTGGAAGTGTTTTTATGATTCCTCCGGTTAATAACTGCGAAACATGTTTATGAAGTTGAGTTGGTGAGGCACGATGCATATTAATTATCTTTACAAGATTTTTATATAAAAGGAGAAAGTAAGATCAGATCGAGGTCCCGCCAAAAAAAAAGATTAATCATGTACGTTTTTGGACAATCAATTTAATTGACGCTGTTCTACTTTAAATTGATGTGCGTCATCGTTTATATATAATTGTAGTACAGTAAAATTCGATAAGAGCAATTATAAATTGCCTTTCGCTAAATAATAATATTATTTTGCAAATTTGAATAAAAATAAGGGTGTTGCATATTAATTAATACCGATTTTAATTAAGGTTACTAAGTAAAGAATAGACTTGTTAAAAGGGTATGACAAATCGTCAAATTCCTGTAAAAATGGAGGATCAATCGAAACTTTTAGAAGAAGCTTCGAACGTTGTTAAAGTTCAAGCGTTTCAAATGAAAAAATGCTTGGTAATTGTGCATTATTATAGTCGGTGTAAAGGAATTAATTTGTTTACCCACTCACTTTCTATGTTTTCTTATCGATAGGATAATAGTAAACTCATGGACGGTTTAAAACATTGCTCAACGATGTTGGCTGAACTTCGTACATCTGCTTTAACTCCAAAAAACTATTATGAACTATGTATCTTTTTTATTACTCAAAATAACGAAGTTAGTGCGATTGATTGATTTTATTATCAAAATTTTTATAAATTTAATTTTCCTGAACGAAATGTTTGTAAAGATATGGCAATTTTCGACGCTCTCCGACACCTAACAACTTATCTTAATGACGCACATATTTCTGGAAAGCATCACCTTGCTGATCTTTATGAGTTGGTTCAATACGCAGGAAATATCATTCCACGTTTATATCTCATGATTACTGTCGGTAGTGTATATATGTCACAAAAGGATGCTCCCGTGAAAGAAATAATGAAGGATATGATGGAGATGTCTCGTGGTGTACAACACCCAACGCGCGGGCTATTCTTGAGACATTATTTGAGTGGAATGACCAGGGATTCATTACCAATTGGAATTGATAATGGGTAACAAAAAAAATTATCGAGTAATATTATTTATTATATCATAAGTAATTCTGATTTTTTCTGATTTTTATTATCATTTTCATCATTTAGCCCTAAAGGAAACCTTCAAGATTCAATTTCTTTTATTCTCACTAATTTTATTGAGATGAATAAGCTTTGGGTTCGCTTGCAACACCAAGGTCATTCACGAGACCGAGAAAAGCGTGAGATGGAACGAAAAGAACTTAGAATTTTGGTTGGAACCAATTTAGTCCGATTAAGTCAGTTGGAAGGCGTTGATTTGATGTTATACGAGAAGGTATTTTTAAATCATGTGATTTTTTTGAAATTGTATATAATTAAAAATAATGCTAAGCTATTGAAATAGACTATACTGCCGGCTATTTTGGAACAAGTTATTAATTGTAAAGACGTTATCGCGCAAGAGTATTTAATGGAAGTAATCATTCAGGTATGCATGTTTGAAATATTATGATTCGTATTTTATTATATATTGTTTATATATATATATATTTTTAATGACTTCCCACACCCCTTGATTAGGTGTTCCATGATGATTTCCATCTTCGTACACTTGGACCATATTTGTCAGCCACAGCACAGCTTCATCCAAAAGTTAACGTTAAGCAAGTCGTAATTGCACTTATAGATCGTCTAGCTGCGTATGCTGCTCGTGAGGCTGATTCCGAACCACCTGAAGTAATTAAGCGTCAGGAGGAAGAGGCCGCTACAAGGCTTGCGGAAAAGTTGAAACGACAAAAGATTGGAGGATATCATGATATGGATGATGAGTCGCAATCAAATGAATCTTATTCACATGAAGAGACAAGGGAAGATACTGAAGAAAATTATGGGAATGAAGATTATGACCAAACATCCGAGTCCCAGCCAGATAAGATCAAACAACAGGATAGATTTGATGAACCTAAGAAATTCCGTGGTATCCCTGAGGATGTTAAACTTTTTGAAGTCTTTTGGGGACAAATTGTTGATTTGGTTAAGGTTCGTAAGGATAATAACTAAATTATTTGTACATTTTAAAAAAAGTTGTTCAATTTTTCGTTTTCTTTTAATTTTCAGGCTCGTCCGGACTTATCGATTCAAGATATCACTGCCTTGTTGGTATCTTTAGTTAATTTATCATTGAGTTGCTACCCTGACAAGATTGAATATGTTGACCAAGTCATTGAATTTGCCAAGCAGAAAGTTTTAGACTTCCACGATAGGTATGTTTTACGCTTGATATTTGAAATTTATTTTATTTAATTACACATAAAAAACTAATCGTTTTTTTTAATATTCATGGAATCAAGTCCCGATCTTCATAGTTCTATCACAGCTTCAAATTTACTTAACCTTCTATTAGCTCCAATCAAATCATACACCACATCTCTTACTCTACTTGCTTTACCTAATTATGCTGCTCTCCTTGCAGTACAGCCTTTTCAAACACGTCGTTCGGTTGCTCAAGCAATTGTCGCTTCTATTCTAAAGAATGAGACAATTATTGAAACGCCTGAAGAAGTTAGTGGAATTTTAGACCTTTGTAACGTCCTCATTCGTGACCAAAAGGACGCGACACTTTCAAGTCCATTCAGTGGTCTTACAAGTGGAAGAAGTACAAGGTCAAATGGGCTTCCACCAATAATGGATCCTGAAGAATTTGCAGAAGAACAAGGATGGCTTGCAAGAATTATTCACTTATTCAAGAGTAGTGATCCCGATAATCAGTTTGTGGTATAATATTAAACTTTAGTTTTATGATTTATCTTTTTCTACTTCTCCGTTATTGAACAATTAATTTATTTATTTATTAAATTTTGTCAGCTCCTTTCAGCTGCCCGTAAACAATTTGCCGAAGGTGGTGAAAGAATACGATACACATTCCCCCCTCTTGTTGTATCTGCCGTGAAGTTGGCAAGGAGTTACCGGAATCTTGAAGATCAAGCAAGTATTAATCATAACGCTAACGATTTCTTCACAATTATAAGTATTATTCACTAATCTTATCACCAAACATAAAAAAAACTATCTAGGATGATGGATGGGAAAAGAAAACCGCGTCTCTTTTCAAATTTATTCATCAAGTTATATCAGTTCTGCATATGAAAGTTGAATGTTCAGATGTATGTTTACGATTGTTCCTTCTTGCGGGACAAAGTGCAGACGAGTGTGGCTTCGAAGAAATTTGTTATGAATTTTTCGTACAAGTAGGCATCAAAGTTAATGCATATGTTTTTTTTTCTAACACTATTTTACTATTTACTAAATGGTACTTTATTTTGAAGGCATTCACCATTTATGAAGAAAACATTTCTGAGTCACGTGCACAGTTCCAAGCCATCACACTTATTATTGGTACTTTACATACCACTCGTGTATTTGGTTCAGAAAATTACGATACCCTGATCACCAAATGTGCCTTGCATGGTAGTAAATTGTTGAAAAAACCTGATCAATGTCGAGCAGTTTATCTTTCTAGTCATTTATGGTGGGCCACTGAGGTGGAAGGAAGAATAATTAAACCAGCGGAGGTATTTATATTTTGACTTACGTATATTGTAAAGATATATTCAATGCTTAATTAATTTCTTTATTTACCAGGAATTATTCCGAGATGGTAAGAGGGTTCTTGAATGCTTACAGAAAGCACTCAAGATCGCAGATTCTTGTATGGACTCGGTTACGAATGTAGAATTATTTGTGGAAATTTTGAATAGATATATATATTACTTTGAAAGAAAGAACGAAGCTGTAAGCATTTTATGTCCATAATTTTAAAAAAAGAAATTTAAAATAATGACACCTTTTCTCTCTTGTAGGTCACTGTGAAGTATCTTAATGGACTAATAGATCTAATCAACACAAATCTAAAAAATATGGATAACCCAGATCAACATCCTCCAACATCTGCTTCTTCAGCACTTGTGGAACCAGAAGGAAATATTTCCGAATTTGTTGTTAGGCATTTCAATTCTACATTATTACATCTTAATACACGCAAAGATTCTGTACTCGCAGCCAAAGCTCAAGGAGATATGTATCAACAAGATTATGACGAAATTGATACTAGCATTGCGTTCGGAAGATAATAAAGTTAAGCAAAAACATTTTTTATTTTGAAGGAACAATTTTGGAGCAATAATTTAAATTTATATGTTAATTAAAAGGATTAATATATGTGTAAATATATATATTTGGTATAATAATTAGTAGAATTTACATATATTATTATACATACATTTAAAAGAATTATATTAGTTTTTTGGCTTTTATTTAATATATATAATATATATATATATATTGAATTATTTTCTATTCTTGTTATTATTGACTGATTCAGTAGCCTAGTATTATTATTATTACAACTATTATTATTACTATTATTATCTTTGTATAAATATATAAAATCTGACTTAATTTAAGGGAATAATTAATTGTTTTTATAATTGTTATAATAAAATCGGTTTGAACTATGATTTATTTGATTCTTTAATTCCTGTGTCGATTGTAATAAATTAAATAAATTAATAAATTTATACATTCCCAATATATTGTCTATTTCTAATAAGCTTTGATTAACAATTTTCAGATCAATTTAATAAAAAGTGTCATTGCATTACTTTTTTGACTTAATTTTTGATTAAAAATTAACATAAAATAATAATAAATAAAGGGGGGTTTTTTTTTCTCTTGTTTCTAAACATAAAAATAATTTCGAAATTATTTTTTAGTTTTACGCCCTTGACTTGCTATCTTTGTTTTCTGTGCTTCAGCTCTAGCTAAAAAATTTTTTAAAAAAAAGCGTTAGTCCATCCTTAATATTCTTTCCTAAAAAAAAAAATATAAATATAATCAAATAAAAGAATATATATTACCTTCTTGCTCTGCTTTTCTCTGCAAAGCAGCTTCTTCTCGTTGTTTCTTGATAACAGCCAACCTTGCTAAATCGGATTTAGCTTGATCGGTTTTACCTTCTAAATGAAGTTTCCAATATCTTTGTCTTGCAGCTTCTTTTTCAGCAGCTTCCCTATACAATGTAATAAATAAATCATGAATTGATGATCTTTTCCGTAGAGTTTTGAAGGATGGCTCAAAATAAAAATCATAATAATATCAACTGATTAAAAACATATAGAATTACCTTTCTTTTCGAGTCATTTCCCTTGGTGCATTCGTTATATCAGAAGCTTTCAAATTATCCTTTTTAGTTCTATTTGGATTGTCTATATCAATAACTTTTGATGTTGATGATTTCGAACGACGATCATCCTATTGTAATATTCAATACGTTAAATAAATAAGTTATGTATAAAAGACTTAAAAGTAAAGAAATAAACTCTTACATCATCATCATCGTCATCTTCGTCGTCATCATCTTCTGATTCATCATCAGATAGCTGCGATTCCTTATTTTTCGAACTTTTGGACCTTTCTTTTTGCTCGCCAGACTTTTTAGGCTCTCCAGAATCTTCAGATTCTTCATCACTTCCCTCTTCAGAGCTATCTTCCTCTTTCTTTTCTCGATTCTAGTATAAAGCAAAAACATCAATACAAATAAATAAATAAATTAATAAATAAATAATAGAGAATTCAATGGAAACACCTTTTTAATAAAATGAATCAAATAAATTTCACAAAAAAAAACATAAAATTGAAAGGAGCTTATTAATTCGCCAAACTTACACCCCACATTCCTTCCTCTTCTTCGGCCTGCTTTGCAGCGGCAAGGCGTCGTGGATTTGTAAACTTATGCCCGCCACCGCGAGTAAAAGTGGCCTTTTTATACCGATAATTCTTTGGAGGCATGGTTATATTACTTTATAATTCGTTTTCAAAATTTACAAAGAAGAAAAAAAAGAAAAAGAATAATGATAATAGACGATCAAGTTGATATTATATATCCATAAGAATTAATTGGCTGGTATATTTTTATATAAAAAATTTCATACTATAATATAAAGAGATTAATGTAATAATCCTACATGACAAATGATATATATATATGAACTAATGATAAAGAGATTAGAAAAATATCCAATTTCTCTACAATTTATGATAAGTTCTCGTTTCTTTCTAATTTTGGATTCAAATCTGATCAATAGAAAATAATATCGTTCTAAAGGATAAGAAATAATCGGCGCAGTATGGACCAACTAGGTTATTAGAATCAAACTACGAAATTACGTTATCATATGATCCTAACCTTCTTTTGACTATTAACGATATAAAGGTAAATTCAAGTTATATCAGTATCAAAGTGTGAGATTATTTTTTATGCTAGCAATCAACAAATCTGACACGTCAGGTATTTCATATGCTGTATTAGACATATTAGACAAATATAAAAAATTAGATATGTTTTCTAAGTTTTTGATTTTATATAAATAGGTAGCATAAAATATCACGTAAGAATTTATGAATTAGTTCTTAGTAGTTTAGAGGCAACTGCCTATTGCATCTCCCTTTTGCTTTTTTTTTAGTTATTTTTCATCTTGTTATTTCTTGCATATTACTATATTAAAATGAAAATCATTTTATAAATAAAAGTTCATAACTGATAAATATTAAATTCAATTATACTACTTAAATACTATATTTAACTGTTGTAATTTGTAAGGATTACATGTTAACAATTATTTTTTTTTTTGAATTTTAATCTATAATTTTAATTTAATTTAAAAAAAAACTATAAATCTTTTGTAAATTATAAAAAATTATTAATAAAAATAATTTAATTAATAAAATTCTTTATTTTTTTATTTTAAAAAATACAATTAATACATTAAAACTAGGAAATGGGAACTCTGAAGCTTGTGTAATAAAAGTAATCAATAGAATATTATTAACTTAACTTTTGAGTAGGTGAATATATAAACATCTTGAGTCATATGATGTAGAATTTAATAATCCTTTGCTATACTCTAGACTAAATATTTAATTCAAAATAAGTTACTTATTATATTATATTATTCCTTAAACTATCTAGTAAGCAAATTTACCTGTAAAATTAAAAAAAAAGTGTTAATTTCTTTATAAATTATAAATATTAATTTTAGAAATATTATTATTATATAAAAAATTTAGTTTAATATATATTTATCAACTTTATTAGTAACTTTTTAAGTTTTTTAAAAAGTTTATAAAAAAATATAATTTTAAAATTAAGTTTCAAAAAATTTATTATATAATTTTTTTAAAATTTATATAATAAACTAATTAAATTATTTTATTATTAATAAAGTTATAAAATTTTTTAATAAATTATAAACATTATAATGATAAAAGTTTTTTTTATAAGTATTTTTATAATATTTTATTATAATTAATATAAGTGTTTAATAGAACTTCATTCATTATTCTACTACAACAATATTAAAATAGTTTCAAAAGATATTTTTAATTTATTAACTTTATATTGCTTTAGTTTTCTAGGTTACTTTTTTCATAGAAGCTATTATAAATGTGATGATATATATCACAAAATTTTTTAAGTATAAATTTATATTGCTTATACAACCCTTCGTAATCCTTCATAATTTTTCGCAATTTTAAACTTTAAATATTATGCAAGATTACATTTAATATAAATTTTCGTAAGATTATGTTTTGTAAATTTTCATAAGACTTATACTGTAAACCTTCATAATATTACAGTGTAAATCTTTGTAATATTTATACTTTTAGTGTAAATATTACAGAAATTTACAATTAAAAAATTTTTCTAATATAGTAAACTTTGGTTAAATTCTAAAAAGTTTGTTATATAAATTTTTTAATTTAAATTTTTAACATATAAGGCCATTCCAACTTAATTCTATGTTTAACATAGCATAAGTAAACAGTAAAAAGGAGGGGGGAATGCTAAAAATAATACATCGTTATATCACATGACAAAAAAATATAGTAATTCTATTGGCTACATATAATG